GCTTCTATAAGGCTCCTTTTGCGGTAACTACCCACCTGAAAATGTCCTAGACAACAGTTCAGGCTTTTGGTCTTGGTAATGAAAGCTTCATTCAAGGCTGAAAGCTGATTCGAGGGGTGGGGGAATTCACGGACCCTTAACCCTAAACCCTAAATCCCAAACTCCCTAAACCCCTACAACCCCTAAGCCCTTAAACCCTAAACCCCTTAAACCCCTAAGCCACGCCCCCTTTTCTCGAGGACCCTAAACCCTAAACCCAAGACGGCTCTGCTTGCTGTGGGATTGGGGATTTGAAAGTCAAGTCTTGGGGCTTAGGCTTTAGGGTTGAGGGTTCAGGGTCTAGGATTTAGGTACTAGGGTTTAGGGTATAAGGCTTACGTAAGGATTTAGGGCTTTTAAGGCCTCTAGGATTTAGGGCTTGGCGTTTAGGTTTTCTATGGCTCAGGGGATAAACTGACACCTCAACGTAAAAACGTGAGCCGGAAACCTCCGAGGCAGTTGCAACCCTAAACCCTAAACCGAGGCAGTTGCAAGGTCACGTGGTGTAAAATGGGGGTTTGGGGCTTTATCAGACAAAGAACTCAGAGACTCCAATATCCCTTAATTAAGGAATATACCTTAAATCATATTAAGGACCCTACTATAATTTAAGGAATATTCTTCAATTAAGGGATGTTGGAGTCTCTGGGAACTTTCTGCCTTTTCACCGCTTCGCCACTTGAATGGCGCGTAACGTGCTCTTATTTTGGAAAGCCCTAAACTCGGAACCCTAAACCCTAAAAACCTAAACCCCCCCCTGAAAACCGGAACCCTAAACCCCACTCAAACCTGAAGAAGAGAGCATTTCATCTGTTTAGGGGTTTAGGGCCTGGGGCTTCCAGACCCTAAACCCTAAATGCTAGGCCTCAGGGTTTAGTAGTTTAGGGTTTAGGGTTTAGGGTTTAGGGTTTAGGGTAGTTTAGGGTTTAAGGGTTTGGAGTTTAGGGTTTAGGGTTTAGGCCTTTTATGGTCACAAGAAAGCTACAAAGATCCTTGCCTCCCACTACCCGAGCCTATGGCCGCCTTAGTGTTGCTGCTTATGCCGGCACCCGGGGGGAATCTAGAAAATAGGTCCCTTAAGGGGCTTCCTATGTCCTATTATGAAGGTTTAGGGTTTAGGGTTTAGGTGGTACCCTTCAGTGGTACAGGGTCCCAAAATCAGGGGTTCTACGGTTGATGGACAAAATCCTGCATGACCTTCAGGACCCTAAACTATGGGAATTATGGTATATTCCTTATAGTGGGTAATGCAGGATTTTGTCCATCAACCGTAGTTTCTCGATCCTCCCCGGGGGTCGAGGTATCAACACCCCCAGGCCCCCAGCCTTCGACGGCTTGAAAGCATCGCCGTAGACGCGCTGCAAGAAGCAGCCTGGGTCACACAAGCAACCCGGTTTGGGGTTTAGGGTTTAGGGAGGTCTTGCAAAAGTAGAGTTTTAAGCCCCTAAGAAAAGGCCTACCCTAACCCGTACGATGGCAAGATACCCCCTAAACCCTGAACCCTGAACCCTATATACCTTTTTTGGAGGGGGGGGGGTTCGATGTCTGTTTAGAGCCTCTTGGGAAACTGGGAAGATGGGCTCTGATCCCACCAAGACCTCTTGAAGCGGCAAGCAAACACTGAGCAAAATGGTCTCCCAAAGTGCAACGATTATGTGGCTCAAGATAGAAACACACACACACACAATGTAGGGGCCTTAATAATTAGAATAGGTTTGTGGGGGCTCCTTATTATAGTTACAGTATGATATACCCCAAACTGTATTCTAATTATTCCAAGCCCCTAAATTACAACCCGCTAAGGCAGCAATAAGACCTGTCCAAAACCTGGAATAAATAAATAAATAAATATATATATATATATATAAAGCCCGTAAAGGCAGTAATAATAAATGGCAGCAATAAGGCCTGTCCAGAACCCTTTGAAGCCCCTAAACCCTAAACCCTAAACCCTAAACCTAAAACCCTAAACCCTAAACCCTAAACCTAAAACCCTAAACCCTAAGCCCTAAACCCGAACCCTTTGACGCCCCATGTCCAAGCCGGGATTCTGTAGAAGTGCTCCGCCCGCTGGCCCACGCGGAGCTGCTGCTCCTTCAGGGCCGCGACGTCCGCCTGGGCGAGGAACTAGTTTAGGTTTAGGGTTTAGGGTTTAAGGTTTAGGGTTTAGGGTTTAAGGTTTAGGGTTTAGGGTTTAGGGTCGGTGTCGATTTGATTCTGTTTGTTTATGTTGTGTGTTTGTGGATGTGTGTCCTTAGTGTGCCTCTGTTTGCTTATGACGCCTGGTTTAGGACTTCGGTGTGTATTCACATTGACAGTTGCTGTAGCAGTGGGGTTGTAAACTTACAAAGGCTTTTGTTGTTACTGTTTAGTCAAAAGCTTCAGGTTTGGGATTCAAGGTCTTGGATGCTGAAGGTTTTAAGGCCTAAGATCTAACGCCTGACCTTTACCCTACCCCAATGCCGGCACACCTCCCCTCCTACCTATGGTCATACCGACGCTAAACCGTAAACCCCAGGCCCTGAACCCTTGACCCCAAGCCCAATTCAAAAACCTAAGCCCCAAACCATAAACTCGAACTGAAATTTCAGAAGCCTTGCCCCGAGGGTCCATGTACCCCAAGAGTACATAAATTGGCCCCAAAGTACTTAGAGACTACTTTAAGGCCACCAAAGTATATAGTATTTGGGCACATGGACCCTTATACTGATACCCAAAACCCTTATAGATCCCTTAAAGAGACCCTTATGGGATACCCTTAAAGGTACCAGGAAAGGAACCGTATTTGGGCCCATAGTGTTTGGGTATCCACTATACATGGACCCCTAGGGTTACATCTATTAATTTCCTAAACCCTAAACCCTATATAGTATTTTGGTATCCATTATACATGGACCCGTAGGGTTACATCTACTATTTTCCTAAACCCTAGACCCTATACAGCATTTGGGTATCCAGTATGCATGGACCCTTAGGGTAAATTCTAAGCCCTAAACCCAAACCCTAAACCCTAAACCCTACACCCTAAACCCTATACCCTATACCCTAAACCCCATACCCTAAACCCTTAACCCTAAACCCTAAACCCTAACCCTATACCCTAAACCCTAAACCCTAGACCCTAAACCCTAACCCCATACCCTAAACCCTATACCCTCAAACCTATACCCTAAACCCTAAACGCTATACCCTAAACCCAAAACCCTTAGAGTTCTTCTCTTCTTCTGAGGTCAACTCTGAGCTTCGAGCCACGGGCGGCCCAGAGCGGGAGCTCCTTGCAGCTGCGAACCTTGGGTTGAGATTGCAGGGTTTAGGGTTTAGGGTTTAGGGTTTAGGGTTTAGGGTTTACCTGCAACGCTTCGGTTGCTGTTAAAAAACGTAGCCTTTACACTGTGGCTGCTTATGCCCGTAGGAATCCTCAATACGTAGCAACTATCTGATGTAATCAGCAACAGTTGCTTATTATACCTTTTTGAGGGTATGGATGCTTCAAACATAGGCCTTTACCTTCCACACCTGCCGCTCAGGACGCCGCTCTTTTTTCGAGCGCGTCACTTTGAAAGGGTGTCAGCAGGCCAAGGTTTCAAGTCATATAGTGCTGTCGGGGTTGAATTTCGGTGACTGCACAGGCATCTTATAACATTTCGAGATCTTGTATGTTGCCTTATGACTATATAGACTAATTAGACAATGGTGTAGATCACTCGGCCAGCCCATGGTTTCCCGTTGAGCTCTGCAATCTCGATCGAGAGACCTTGGAGGACCGTTGAGCCATTCGACCGGCTGTCATGACATTCATATGTGCAGCAAGTTCACTAACATCGAGCGATCGAATGCTTTGGCAGGACCTCTTGAGGCCCGCGCTTTTGGGTTGAGCATGGTGCTCCCGACCTGTTTGGGCAAAGCTCTGGGACAGAACTTGTCATCAGTTCGAAGTGCATACTGCTCTGGGAAAGCATTCATTACTCTGTGCTTCAATCAGCTGGGTCAGGCCTCAAGCTCTTGGAAGGGGCTTCTTATAGTGCTAGAAGAGATGTCTTGGCTTAGTCACTCCCTGGCGAAATCATGGGAGACTATCAACACTTTGCGGGGCCGCTTTCGCAAAAACTTGTCATGGCTACAATGGCCAGTTCCGAACCCCGACACTGACATGGATGACTTGCACGAACCATGCACTCGTGCGGTGGAGCTGAACGTTGAAGTTCTGCGTCACATGGTCATTGATCTTGAGGGGTGCAGCATCGATGTCAAGACTTTGCAAATTGAGGCCTGCTTAAACGTCACATTGATTAGGTGATGTGCTGGGTTCAATTAAGTTTACTGTTGAATTTGGGGGAATCATGTGCAGGTGAAGCAGTTGTGGAAAGAAGTGAAGTACCACCCGAAGGAAGACCACAGTTACAGAGACTCTTGGGACTTACGCCGCCTCTACACGTTCTGTTTCCGCAGACAACTTGATGCTTTCAAGAGGGAGCAGACCCCGCGGGACCGAACTGAAAGTTTGTTTGCATTGTTGGTGTGTAGCCCCGTTCGGTCAGAATTTTTCGTGCTGTGATCTGCAGGACCCTGCTGTGGCGGAGCTCTTCAGGGTCATTGCGACCTTCAGGGCCAAGTGGGCTTCTCATGCCGAGTGCTGGGGCGAGAAAGACACGCCCAAGCTGGCAGACGATAACCTTGATTCACCAGCAGCAGATCTTAGGAAGGAGAAGCAGCTCAGCACCAAGCCCATTGAGACGGAATGCTACACGGGTGTCCCCGCATCCTCAAGCGACAAGAAGCCAAAGCTGAGACAGAGCAGTAGGTCTTCGTTGGCTGCTACAGAGGCTGGAGAGCCAGCTTCCGTGACAACATCTGCGGCAGAGGTGGTGGAGCCTGATACCCCGACCCCAGTTCCACCCAGTGCTGCAGAGCCCGAGGTTCCGGTTCCAGTTCCACTGCCTTCAGAGGCAGATGCGGAGCCCGTCGCTCCGGTTCCAGCTCAGGATGTGGCTTCCGAGATGGACTTGCTTGCCGATTTGTCTGCCGATCAACAAGCAGAGTATCGAAATCTGCAAAAGCAGATCGCCGAGCTCGAGTCTGAAGCCGCAAGGCCTGATCGAGTAAATAAGCTATGTGTATATCGGTGCTGTGTATGATGGCCGTTCATTGAACCATGCAGGCGGCGACCTGTGGATGTTCCCGCAGGCTGGTTTGTGGGGTATGTATGTAAAGGTTGTGTTGCGATTTTCTCCTAGCTGGGATCCTGCACTTGTGTCTGGGAGCTGATTGAGGTGGAGAGGAGCCGTGCCCGGAATCGTCCGGGACCCCAACCCCGTTGCCCAAGCCATCGTCGATAGACCAGGTGGGAAGGATTTCGTTTTGCTCGATCGGTTTGTGAGTGTGGCCTTCAGTGCTGGGGGTGGGCTGGCAGGCTGACACTCAGCTCTTGGAAGAGGGTGCTCTTGATGCCATCGCTGCTGCTAGCAAAGTGACCCCGAGCCCCAAGGAGCACAAGTTTGCCGAGATTACCCCGGAGCAGACTAAGGCTGCCCCACCCAGGATCAAACGTTCCACGGGGAAGGCGAAGCGCACCAAGAAGGCCTTGGACTTCGAGGAGAGCATTCCTGCCGAGAGTGTTGAGCCCGAGCCATGCACGGAGGTGGGATAACATGCCACGTCCTTCTGCGGACTTTTCCCCAAATTGGGTGACTTAAGACTTAAGACACTGGCTTGCTGTTGCAGGTTGGTGGCAGTGCTGAGCCTGGCGAGCCTGGTGAGGCTTGTGAGCCAGATGAGCCCGAGGTGACCCCGGCGATGCAGCATGGGTTCCGTGACCACATGAAGGAGAAGGTGAAGCGTGCCAAGGGCAAGAGATCCGGGGGCAAGGGTTTGTCTGGTGGCAAGAAGAAGTATCGGCGAGGCAAGAGCTTCAAAAAATTGCGAGCTATGGCGAGCACCCGGAAGCGCGCCAACGAAAGGGACGATGATGCCCCGGCAGAGGCAGTCGATGCTGCTGCCAAGACGATCAACTCGAGGCGGAAGAAGCGCCACATGGATGAAGAGGTGGACGAGGCCGCTGTTGGGCCGGAGGCAAAGGCAAAGGGGGACGCTGGCAAGAAGAGCGAGAAGCCAGTGGCCAAGGCGAAGGCCAAGGCCAACGCCAAGGCCAAGGCGAAGGCAAAGGCCAAAGCCTCGCCAAAGGCCAGGGCTAAGGCTGCTGCTGCGCCGAAGGCAAAAGCGAAGGCGAAAGCCAAAGGCAAGGCGAAGGCGAAAGCCATGGCGATCCCGAAGCAGGATGATGGAGATGCCCCCAAGCAGGACCGCATCTACAACGGCAGGCAGTGGCGCTATGTCGTGGCAGAGAACCAAGTCCTCGGGTGCATCTCGTGCAGGTTTCTCTTCCGGGGATGCAAAGCCTGCCGATCCGAGTCCTTCCGTGGAAGGACTGCCAAGGAGGAGCGAGTGTCCCAGCAGGCATACTTGAACAGCCTTTGAGAAGCTTTCGACGGGATCGTGAGTGGCCATGTCGGGTGATGGTGTGGTGGACAGTTGCTGGGCTTCTATCAAATTCGATTGTTTTGTCTTTCGAGTTCAGAAAAGTGGTCCCAATCGATTGATGCCATGACTGTTTTTGTGGTGTTTCTCTTTAAAGCAAACGAGAGCTGATCTGTTAGACTAGAGAAATAATATTGACCCTTGCCCTAAGCGATGCCCTCATGATTGGCCATCGGTAAGTCTCGCTGAGTCTTGTGGCCTTGGATCATCCCACGCAATCTTTTCCAGCATGTAGGCTTCGCCACAAACCTGCCGCATCGATGTGTGGAGCGTGGCCAATGATCGACTTGACCCTCTGTTTTTCCATAGGTGATATAGGCAAGAGCTTTCAACTTGCCACGGGTGGATGACACACGGTAGGATCCTGCATATGTTTTCATAATCGTACTGCAAGTTGAAGTCGTGCAGAAGATGTGTATACAGGCGGTTGTAGAAAATCAGGTTTGGAACTGCTGTATGTATATTCATATATATGTGCGTGGGTGCGTGTGTCTTTCAATTGGGGCATAGGCTCGCGAGTGTGGGTCGAGCACAGCTCATTAGAATCCTGCACAGTTCCAGCGAGTCTGCACTCATCGAGTGCTCTCACATCATTCGGGGAACCACATGCGCGATCAGAGGCAAAAATCTCGCAGCTGCTCTATCAACTCTGGCAAAGACTGCAGTGCAGTGAGCTTCCATCAAGTGTCGCGAACAGATCCTAGCCTGATCGTTCTAATGCCTGTGTGCCACAACTTGCCAGGCCTCGGATGAGCCGAGCTTTGCGGCTGCGACGGACAAGCCTGGCAGAGCATCTGCGAGGCCGATCAGGTGCGCCCCCTGTCTGTTGCGGTTGCTACAATCCTGGTGTCATTCGAAAGGAGTTTTTGGATGCTTGCTAAATCTGTTTGTGCTATGCCTATCACACCTGTGCTGCGGCAGTGCCTTTTCAGTTCAAGCCCCCGGTAGTCAGTCTTGTAGATCAACAATGGACGACCGAAAGCTCCATTTCATACTTGACAATCTGTTGCGAATGCAGGCTCCGGGAGTTGCCCGGCCACTATTTACAGCTTGCGCTAGCTATAGGTTCGTAGAACGCTAGAATTGTTTCATTTCCCGTGGTAGCTAGTCTACTTGAGGTCCTCATGCTCCTGGTCATCATGGTCAGCTTCCATACCACTATCTGCATGTCTGAGGTCTCGGGCCCCAGCGTCACATGTGAGTGTCTCCGGCATAAAGACGATGCGAAGCCTTGGCATGCCATTTGTCGCTTTCGATGACCAAGGCTTTCGATGCAATTGATGTATTCGCTGGTGCGGCTAAAATCAGCAAGTGCCTACGTGCTACCGGACTAAGCACAGCAACTCTCGACATCAAGCATTGGCCAGAGCATGTTCGCCAGACAGGATCAGTCAATCGATGTGGTAACCCACTGGACTTAGCATCTTCAGCCGGGTTCCTGTTGCCTGTCTAGAAAATATAATCCCACCCAGAAGTTTAGGCTTAAATCCTGCGCCCTTGGACCCATATGCATGTGAGGCTGCTTTTGGCAACTGCCCTACGAGGGCGGTTGGGTCGTCTGGTCGGAGCCTTTGGCTTGGTTTGTGGGAGTTGGGTACAGATGTCCCGGCCATCCACTGGACGGTCTTATTGGACCCCGCTTGGTTCTTCCCAGTCACCCTCGGCACGGAAGGGAAATCTCCTCGCTTCCCGGACCGTGTTTCCCTCTCTGCATGGACATGTTCATGAGTGCGAGGTACGTAAATGTATAGACATGCATCCATGCATATGTGTAAGGTATTTGTACCTATACATATACATGCATGTGTGCGTGTGTGTGTGTGTGCGGGGGGGGGGGGGGGGTTGTTTAAATACGTGCATACAGATGCATTTATAAGCGACAACCCCTTCCTGACATTGAGACAACCCCCACAGAACCCAATGCTGCCTGGTGTATGCATATATAAATGCATTGTGGGTTATAGATGCACATATACTGTATATGTATGTGTTGTAATCTATATATACATATATGTTCATATAACATATACATACATATACATATATAC